CCCTCACTCCTCACCCACAGCCCCCTGCTCCCCCCAGCCCTGCAACATCTTCTGGCTGCCCCCCACCTGTGGGCAAAGGCACTGGCCCCAGTGCCTCCAACCTGGCCTCGCAGCTCCCTGCTGCCCTTGAAGGGCACCCCCACACCCTTCCCCAGCTGAAGGGGCAGGTGCCCCCCCCCACCGTGCTGCAGCCCCAGCTGCCAGACAACTTCCCCAAGCACCTGCCCCCCTTCACACACCCATCCCATCCACACACCCCTGCCATACACACAGCCTCCCTGCATAGTCCCAAAACCCTGGCCCTCCAACACCTGCCCCCCTTAGGCTTACCTGCATCCAGCTGCCAGGCTGCTCCTACCACCCTGCCTGGCTGCATGCTGAACACGTGCGTGTGCACACGGAGGCGCACGTGATGCCCCCTACCTCCAGTCACCCCCCCAACCTCAAGCAGATCCTTGCTAGGGCAAACCAGGAAGCACCAGGAAAAACTTCAGTGCTGAGCAGAGCAAAATCCTGGACATCTGTTGGTATTTTAAAAACTACCTGGATAGAAATGGGAGGATCCACAAAAAGGACATGCGTGGGAAAACCTGACCGTATGGTAACCCTAGTTCTGCCCACTGCCACCACAACCCACCAGAGGCAAACCACCCACACCAGCTCTTGCTGAGGGGTGATCCATGCTGGGGTCCAAGTGGCAGGGTGCCTGTCTCTGGCCTCTGAGACATGCTGTGTGGGAGCCAGGATTAGGCTCTGTGGGGCTGTGCCCAAGCACAGGGGCATGGGGATCCCTGGCTGGGTGTGCTGAAGCCAGAGTCAGGCTCCATGGGGCTGTGCCTAAGCACAGGGGCTCTCCTGGGTTCAGTGTCAGGGGTGTGTGTACATTGTAGGGGTATGGGGGTACAGCCTAGTGATGCAGGTGCCCAGATCCCAGGGCTCATGCAGGGGACACAGACATCTCACTTCTCCCCTGCTGCCTGCCTATGTCTGACAGATGGGCAGAGGCAGGAGGCAGGGCTGGGGAGAGGGTCTGTGCTGGCTCGGCTCTGGGACAGCTCAGAGACGGGACCCGCTGGGCACTCGGCTGGATCAGCCAAGTGCAGGCTGAGTGCTAGCACAATTCCCTGTGAGGGTAGGGTATCGGGGGCCGCAAAGAAGGCTGGGATGCTGGAGGTCAGCAATCTAACTTTAATTGATAGGGGATCTGGTGCAGAAGTTTGATTCGCCAGTCTAAACTAAATCAATTAGATCTGAGTTCACGTCAACCCAGGTCCATCTCAATTAGACTGGTCTATGTGTGCCGATTTTCTGTATGGTTATGGGTTTAGATGAATTTCCAATCACTTAGGTTTTTGTGCGATATCTGTACCTGTCCTCTTATGTATGTACATCAGCTTCTGTTTGCGTGATATAAACCTGGTTTCCTTGCAGAGCTTCATTTAAAGGCTCAACATGCAGGAGAGCACCCCAGCCATTAAGGGCAAAAGACTCTGTCTTCTGATGCCAGTAGTGGGACACAGCACCTGAGGTGCCTGCCTTACACTATCTTGCAGTGCTTCCAGGGAAAGATTAAAGGACTCCAGTGGTCTACCCATGACACCCAACCACTGCCGACTCTCTCCAGTGCACAAGCTATCCATTTCCCAACCTACTTTCTATGCAGCAGAAACGCTGCCTTTCCACTTCACTATTTCTGTTGTGTAAATGCCAAAAGATCACAGGCTTGTGATCACAGATACATATATATATATATACATATCAGGGCAGCATTCTGCTGGGTCCCGTATGTGTGACTGGAGACAGTCCCTTTGCCACAGAGCAGACAAGGTCAACAGACAAAGGTGACAGGAGAAAAAAAACTATTCTTTCCATGGGGCCATTCTTCCTTTGCCTTTATTACAGACTTTCTGCAGCTGCACAGAGTCTGCAAGATCAGTTCTCATATGGTCATGTGGAGTTTTGACATTTTGACTAAACCTTTTTAAGAAATAAAATTCACTTCAGCATGGTCCAGGCTTACAGGACCTCAATTTCTTATTTAAAAAAGAAGGGCCAAAACCACAACTTCCCTCCTCCAAATCTTTCATGTCTTTCTTTTATTGGACCAGCTGTATGGCATGTAATGTATGACATAATGGTAGGTTATGGTATGACATAGTGTTTTATGCATAACTGTATTGAAATTTTTTAGTAAGTAATGTTTATTCCTCCTCGAGTTATTATGGATCAGAAATACTATCTCCATTTTAGTTTTATTGGAGACGGGAGCACTAGCAACACCCATAATTAAGGTTTTCCCAGTGTTTCCATTCCTCTCTGGTTTTAGTTACTTGAACCTGTCTGCAATTATCACCTGCTGGGTTTGGAAAATTTTCCCTGTCTGATCTTTTCAACAAAACTGATTGATCTGTTTGAACACAAAGAAAATGAAAAAATATTTTTTTTCCCTGTTGTCTTTATAACAGTGTTCCAGGGGGAACTGGTTGGGTGTGCTTGAGTCCTGAATCTAGTGGCAGCAGTAATAAAAACAGAAGCGACCAAGGTTACAGAGGAAGATTGGCTGCACTGGAAGTGCATGCATTCAGCTGGTGTACTAATGGCTTGATACAATTCCTAGTAAAGTCAATGGGAGAGCTATTTTTTCCCCTTTGCCTATAAAAGAAGCCACAATTGAGCTGTAAATGTTAATCCACGTAGTTAGGGTTTGCATGCTGTGGCCCTAATATGACAAAGTACTTAAACCTTTGCCTATCTTTAGCACATAAGCAGCTCCAAAACCTGAACTTTAAGTGTGCTATTTTTACTGTGTAAAAGAGGAGGTGGGACTTGAATGAGCACTGTTTCATTCAGACCTGATTCAGCAAGAGTCTTAAGAGCATGCTTAACTTGCAAGTACTTGAGCTGTAGGACTCCTTCGCAGGATTTAAGCACATGTCTGACATTAAGCATGTGAGGGGGAGTCCTAGGGGCCACGTCACACATGGTGCTTATGATGTGTTAACTGCACCTAAACCACAAGCACCCACATGTCCACACAGTAAAACGTGTGGTCTGGTGCAGTGGTCAGTGTCTGGGAAGTGAGAGGGGGTGGCACAGCTAGCTCCAGCTGCCCGGAGTGGGCTTAGGTCATAGCAAGCATCACTGTGCAACTGCTCCAAACATGCTAACTTTTAATATGGCACGGTAATGCTTAATATAATCTAAATAAAACACGTGCTAAGTGTCTCTTGTGACAAGGCCTCTGCTTGCATGCTTAAAGCTACGGTTATATTTAAGATCCTTGCTGAATCAAGACCTGAACAAGGAGGGGCCTCATTCAAGCTCTGCTTCCTTCGTTGGATGGTAAACATGTGCATCGACTGAGCACTGTATAGGACCCTGTGTAGCTGAAACCTTCAGACACCCCGTGGGCACAGTGCTTACATACCTGTAGGAGCTGTGGCAGGAAAAAAGTGTACTGTGCCATCCTTCCACCCCTTGCCCTTGGAACAGAGGCCTTTCTTTCATGGCAACAATAACCTATATATAAAGTATGGCAGAAGGCGGACACTGGCCATATCTACACGAGATGCTGACTGTGCAGATGTTGCTGTGCAGTCACTTAGTACTTGCATGACGGTTCATGACCCATGACACTACCATGCAGTACCAATGAGCTACTATGCAGTAGTACCAAGCGACTGCACAGTCAGCATCTCATGTTGGTGCAGGCAGTGATACTCAAACTCATGGGTGAAATCCCAATCCCTTTGAAGCCCCATTATCTTGGGTAGGGCCAAGATTTCACCTCCCGGGCAAGTTTGCCGGTAGACTCCTAAGGCACAATAACCATAGTTCTGTCCCCCGATGAAGGAAGAAGCACTGAGGATTCACCCTGGCTTAAGAGAGGAGGCTCTTTAGAAACTCGATGCAATAAGTTTGGCTGAAGTTCTGTTTTTATTTGTCTCAAGATCTGATTATATAAGATGAAACCTTTCAACTGCATTCTGTGCCCATAAAGGAAACCCGGAAAGAAAAGCATTACATATTTCAGTTAATAAGAATAATAAATGTGCAGAATATAACTGATTCATTTGTTTTTGTTGTTATCCTATGCAAATTGTTTGAGAGGCTATTTAAATGTTCTGCCATTGAAATAACACAGGGAAAATATGAACAAAACAAAAAGAAAATAGTGATTTTGTGTAATGTTTCAGAAGTGTCTGAGTGACACAAGAGCTAAAGTACCATTTTCACAAATGACTCGGGTACTTATGATGCTTGGAAGATTTAGGCATTTTTACACCTTTGTGAATCCAGGCCTTAAGTATATAAGTCTTGTTGACTTTTGATGAGACTTGGGCTCCTAATTGTCCACAATAGATCTAAAAAAATAAGAGTTTGGCTCCTAAACCTGTAGGATACTTTAGAAAATGTTACCTTTAGGGTCCTGACACCTGAGGTTACTATTGAAAATGGGACTTAGGCAGTTTTTAAAATGCTACTCTGTATCTCAGTCCCGTACTATAGATTTAAATGAGATGCAGTGTTTTTCTTTTCCCTGCTATCTAGACTATCTTGCCAAAACTGAAGAGTCAGAATTTAGTCAGGGATGACCCTGCTTTGAGCAAGAGGCTGAACTAGATGACCTGATGAGGTCTCTTCCAGTCCTAGTTTCCTATGATCCTATGAAGATGGAAAGAAATCTGAAGTAAATTAGACCTGTGTCATAGCTCTGATTTTAGTTTATCCTGCTGAAACTCTGGAGGAGTTGCATGCTTTGAGGGTAAAGCTGGCAATGCAGCTAGTTCTGGGCAATATGCAAAAAAAAGTGAACCTCTGCCTAGAGCATTTATAGTCCGGCAAGGTTTTGAAATAGAAGCATTTGCATCTTAAAAAGACAATTTTTGGTGAATTAAGTGAATGCTCTTGGGCTTTCTCTGTGCTGTGATTGGTGTAAAGTATTTTCTAGTCACATCATTCAGTGTAAGTTGACCCTTCTTTTCATGCTTCTCACTTAGAGCTTGAGGAATCACAACAGAAATGTCCTCCATGCTGGAATCATTTTGCCCTTAAATTTCTCATTTGGGATTGCTCTCCTGTGTGGCTGCTAATCAAGAAATACGTAAAGTTTGTAGTAATGGACCCATTTACAGACCTGACTATCACCCTTTGCATTGTGTTGAATACTCTCTTCATGGCTCTGGAGCATCATAAGATGACAAAAGAATTTGAAAACATGCTCAACATAGGCAATCAGGTAAGTGAATTCAAACCCGAACTTACATCTGGAGTTTATTTGCTGCTCTTCCATGTTCTGAAGGCCCCAAACTATTGGAGCCAAAGGGTCTAGGAACACCCCATTCTGGTGTGTTGTAACCACCAATTTGAACAAGTTTTGTTAAGGAAGGGTTGCACTCTTTAAGTGGTTGCCATCCTAGGCTTTGAAAGAAAATGAAGGGAGAACATGTAGCATTAAGGTAGCATATGCTGTTGCTCATTTACAGTCAGTGGGAGCCTCTACGTGAGATGTTTGCAGAGAAATTGCCTTCGTTCTGCAGTAAATGTCTCAGCGTCTACACCTGTGGCCCTATTAGGCTGCAGGAAACTAATAAACTCTGCAGTAGGGTAGTACTTGTAAATACAAGTGCTGTCCCAGCTGGCTGAGGCATGAGGGTGCCTCAGTGCAAGGGATGCCTGCTGGCTTGCCCCATGCTGAAGCACCCTCATGCCCCAGCCTGTCCCTCTGCAGCATGCGGAGCCGGGTCAGAGCAGCCCCAGGCTGGCAGGCTGAACCCCTGGGCCCTCTGCCAGCCAAGGCTGCTCTGGCCCTGCTCAACATGCTGCAGTCCTGGTGCACGTTCAAATGGCACACCTGGGAGCAATAAACTCTGCTCTGATATGTGCTGGAGTTTATTGCTCTGAATTAATTGCACGTGTACATGTGCCCTATTAAGCCTAATTTTACTGCTGTTACTAACAGTTTGCAGGGGTATCATTTAAAGGAAATAATGAAAGAAGGGGTTTTAAGGGGTTTTTTTTGGTGGGGGGTTAAGATAATTAAGAAGCATTGGTCAACAAACATGAGTGATTTGTACGTTAAAGACAGTGAAACAGGAAAAATATGACACTACCTTGTACAGAACTAAACTGGAGTTAGATATTTTTTGTAGGGATGCGATTACCAGGATTTTCAACAATATCTAATGATGTAGGTTTTCCTAATTTTCTGGTTCTCAACTAGAGGTGGTTTGCAGAAACATGATTTTTCAAGAAGTGCTGAATATACCCTGGTTACAACTGAGGACTTGCTAGAGTACCTCAGATTCAGAACTCACAAAACTGAGGTACCCAAACTCCCCAATCTTTTAGAAAACATTGGTTGTATTCAGTAGAGTAGGCAGACAGTCCTTGTGGACTGCTGTCTGGGAGGAACTTCCTGGATTTAAAGCGTCTAAAAAGGGGTTGCAAACAGTTATTTAAAATAAGAAAGCCTGTGTGTGTCTGTTCATGTAGATCCAGCAATATGGACTTGTGGGGCCGGTCCACGGAGACATACGTAGGTAGAAGCCAGAGACACACTTCTCACAGTTGTCCTGTCTCGTAGAAGCCGTATAGAAGATAGGTCTGGGATCTTCACACGCTGTTCCTTTTACTTATCAAATCTGCATGTGCAATCTCCCTCCAGCCAGCACTGATTTCTCTGCAAGTGTGATGGGCCAATCACCAGCTGTTACGTGCTTTTTGTTTTGAGGGGTCGCCCTTTGTAGCTGTGGTCAGAAAGGATCTTCAGGCTACCTGCTGCCTGGCTCCGAGATATATGTACTTGCTCATTATGGGAAGCACCAGATACAGCAAAGGCTAAAAAATTCTCCCCGTGGAGCTATGTGCAGGTCCCCTCAATACACCATTGTGAAAGTGCCTCCTCTCACCACATGGCCTCGGAGAACCTGCTGCCTCCTACTCCTCGTATTCTGGATAGATGATATTTCTGCTCCTTGCTGGACATTTAGCTAATCAACTTCTCCCCTTGCCAAGTCACAGACAGTGAAATTTTAGACTCTCTCAGTCCTTTGATCAACATGACTCCCACCGTTCTGCATGGGCTGAGCTTGGCCAACCTGTGTGCAGCCAGTCTGAGGAGCAAAGAAAATAGAGAGAGAAAAAAGAGAAGCTGAGAAGCAGTGTCACGTATCTGCTGTGAGTCACCCTGCTCTCCAGTGTCGGGAGATACTGCTCTTGTTGGTGCCGAGGTGAAAAATGAACTGGGCAATGAGGCTGCCCTCCTTGTTAGGCGAAGGACAGTTTCTTCAACCATCCTGACCCTTTCTTCTCAGTTCTACTCAACCCAATCCCAGCTGGTTTCTTAGTGCGGATGGGCACATGACTTCTGAGGACAGGTTGAGGGAACTGGGCTTGTGTAGCCTGGAGAAGGAAAGACTGAGCGGGGATAAATAACAGCCTTCAACTAAATGAAGGGTAGTTTTGCAGAGGATGGAGCTGGACTGTTCTCAGTGGAGGTAGATGACAGAACAAGGAGCAATGGTCTCAAGTTGCAGCAGGAGAAGTTTAGGTTAGATATTAGGAAGACCTTTCTCACTAGGTGGGTAGTAAAGTGCTGGAACAGGTTACCCAGAGAGGTTTGAACTCCACCCTTGGAGATTTTTAAGACCTGGCTAAATAAAGCCTTGGCTGGGATCATCTAGTTGGGGCTGGTCCTGCTTTGAGCAGCAGGTTGGACTAGATGTGACCTCCTGAGGTCCCTTCCAACCCTCATTTTCTATCGTTCGAAGATGGGCAAGAAAAGCTAATTCCATTCTGGAGAGGATTTCAGTGTATTGAAATCTGGGTTCCTTCCAATTTATTTTAAAAGCCTAAAACTTCACCATCCTCTACGAAAGGCAATGGAGTCACAACACCCAGGGCAGTCTGCCAGCTTGGGTGCCCCTGAGCCATGGACCATGAAAGTCCTGGGGTCCCTGGCTCTGAGACCACGTGCCAGTGAGGCTGCCAAGAAGCACGCAGGTGGACTGGCAGGAAGCCGGGCTGGCTGGCAGACAGGACTCCAAAAGCTGCCAGTGTCCTAGCGAAGCTGGGCTGAAATTGAATTATCCCCATGAAGTCTTTCGACTTCTACAAATTAGCATGTTCAACCAAGATATGTTTTATCAGATTTTTCCAACCTATTGCAGTGATTAGCATGAATTAGTAAAAACTCAGTCTGCCTCTCATACCCTTTCCTTTGCAAGTTCTTAAAAACAAACAACTTCTACTCCTCCTTCCTCCCCACAAAATCCAGAAATGCTAGCAGTTCACTACTGGTTTCCCTACGAGGATCCCTCTTGAAATAATTATAGCAGTATTAAAAGGGAGGAAATAAAAGGGAAGAAAAGACCGGTGTTCCTTTCCTCTAGAGAAATCTCCTTAGGAGAAACAAAGACAAAGAAATAGGCGCCCTTTTCCTCTCATTTATAATGAGGGAGATTGTGACTTCTCATCTAACACTTCTGAGAGTCCGGCATTGAGGATCTTCAATTCTGTGAAATGATTTGCATTACTGAGTTATGCAGCATTTTGGTATTCTTGTGCCTCACACTTTTATATGACACCAGGAAAAATATTTGAATCGCATTACATGCCTGCAGACTTCACTTGCATCAGGCTACATGTACCGATGCCTCTTCTCCAACACCAGCCAGCAGGTTCTCCCTATGTCTCATCCTTCCAAGAAAGTTTATTTGATATTAATCAATAGTAAAGCTGAAATGTTAGAAACCTTTTGCCAAAAGGAAAGATTTGAGGTGAAATCCTTGATATCACTTCTAGTATTACATTCAGCCAGAAGAAGTCCCAGTATCAGTGGACTTCCAGGATACTGGTTCACTTCCCCCTGGTAAGTAATGTTGCCAGTCATTGCCATAGTCCACATCCTATAGAGACTACAGGTACTCCTCGCTTAGCGTCGTAGTTACGTTCTTGAAAAATGCGACTTTAAGCGAAACGATGTTAAGCGACTCCAATTACGTCACAGTAGTTACTTACTAGCAGGCAGCGGCCAAACAATGTTATAACCGAACATTGCACAGCTTTAAATGAGCACGTTCACCAATAGATCAGCGACGTAATAACAAAACGTTAACTGGGACGACGTTAAGTGAGGAGTACCTGTACCAATTTACAGCCCGAAAGGCAAAAGTTAAGTAATAACCCTGCTGAATGATTAGTGAAGGCAAAATCTCTTGTACAACGACAGCCAGTAATATTCAAAACTTGCCATTAATATACAGACAAATTCCTTGTTGTCTCTAGAAACTTTGATATCTTATTAGGCTAGGTGTCTCCCCTTGAAAAAGGTATTGATTAACATGATTTAGACAAAGAAACGGTTCCTCCTGAGTCACCTCTCAGCACGGCAACTGCGTCTTGTGCTCTCCACGATATCATCAGTTATTGAGTTAGTAACCCGGGTTCGGTTTCCCAGACGTCCACTATTGCCTTGTTTACTGCCCTAATGGAACGAGGAGCTTCGTGTACTGGACTCCGAGGTGTCTCTAACAATTGTGACTCAGAAATTGTTGATTTGTTAGTAATCGGAAACTAGGCTGCCTGGTACAGTATCACTGCTGGAGACCATCAGGGCTGAAATACCCCAGGATGACAGCCCAAACAGCAATGAGCAGAGACAATTTATCTTTGCGATCAGAGAGAGAGAAGGCAGCTGAGATATGAAACTTTTTTAAATGATTGCTTGGAAGTCTCTCCACCTCTGTTCATTCTTGATTAAAAAGTAAATGTTCCATCTTCCTCAAATGCAGGCCTCAGCCACTTGCTGCTTAGTATTTTCCTTTTATACTCTTATGTCAACCTCCCTTGTCCTAGTTTTCCTAGTCATTGGTACTTGGATCCTGTGAATCCGTCTGGCGGGGGAACTATGGTAGAGACTCAGGACACTATTTCTTCTTGTGCATACATTGCTGTCTAGATTTGAGCCTATCATTTGATCTGGAGCATGCATTAACATGAAAACCGAAGAGATGCCATTGCAGCTCACACCACAGGCCCATCTAGCCCAGCACGCTGTCCCTCCCAGGGGTAGAGTGTCAATGCGCAGAGTATGCAATCAGGTCGGACCCAGACTGACCAGTCCCTGCCCCTCTGCCACATAGACTTTATCATAAAAGATCCACTGCTGCAGTATATATGTGCAACACATGACGTGTTTTTAGGACCCAGAGCTCTATGAACCAGAGGGTCAGAAACAAAATAAAATAGTACGTGGATAACTGCACAGCAACATACCACCTCCTCTTCTGAAGTGTATTTTTGCCCAGGTACCGTGTGCTTAAAGCAGTTATTTGGAGAAGATTTTAACCAGACTAGACCTAGCTCTCCCACACTCTTTGTGAATATGGGTTAAAAGCAGCCGCATCCCTTAAAAGCAGTTTCCTGTCTGCAAACAGCCTTGCCCCCACATTTTCCCACCGTAAGTAGTGGTTGCATATTATTTTTCAAAAAAAAAAAAATGCTCCAGTTAAAAGAGTCTTGCCATGTAACATTTGAACTGGGTTATACATAAGCTGTGTGTTCTCAAGGCACTGTGAAGAGAAAATTGCTGTGTCTATTCTTAAAAGAACAGTAAGACTCAAATTAGAGTCCCCGATTGCCAGCACTGCCAGCAATCGCCTGAAAGCGCATTGCCTGGGAGTGCAGCAGCTGCAGAATCAAAGCGATGCCACGACAGGTAGACCGCAACCCCGGCACACCTCCCCTCGGAAATGGACACACGTAGCCTTTTGAAAAGGTACCTCTTGAAAAGGCATCTTCTTGCACTTCATTACTGATACTTGTTTGTATGATAGGTGATGAAAATGAGTGCTTCAGTGCCCCAGGTACAGCTTGTTCCCAGATGTTATTGCATGTTTACAACAATACCAAATATCACTGTAAAAAGAGCAGACAAACCCAGCCTTGTAATGCTGGCAATACATTAGACAGGAGAGAAGAACTTGGCGGTAAAGTGGTGTTGTCTCTGTATTAAGTTCACAGCATCTGTTAAAAGAAAAAAGAAAGCCAGGAGATAATGTTTATAGGCTGACCTTGCTTCCTGTTTCCTTTCCCCAGGTCTTCACTGGAATTTTTACAGCAGAAATGATCTTCAAAATCATCGCTCTAGACCCGTACTACTATTTTCAGCAGGGCTGGAATATTTTTGACAGTATCATTGTTTCCTTAAGCCTGATGGAACTGGGTTTATCCAGCATGGGAAATCTGTCCGTTTTACGTTCTTTCCGACTGGTAATATGTCCTCTTATTCCCTTTCACAAAATATCAACCCTTCTATGAATATAATATCTCGTCTTCAAATCACATTCACTGCAAAAGAAATGAGTTGTTACAGGCGCTAATTATAGACCATAAGCCACACGGAATTGCTCCAGATTTACATCAGAGTAAAAGAGAGCAGAATATGCGGCAGTCACTTGTGGCACATTTTAAATGTCTGTGATCCCAGTTGCAATGAAAAGCCCGCACTTTTATAAAGGCCCGCATGGTAACATGAAAGTCGATGGCTGATCAATAAACCGAGATGCTCCAGAACTAACGACACGTCACTGAAAAGGTTGTTATGCCTTAAGCATATTACAAACATGCCACTCCATTTTTAAATGTTGTCAAAAGTAGATGTCTGCATTATTCACGAACTAATTCTTTTTTTAGAACGTAACAACATAACATAGCATCTGCCTTTCAGGGAAAATCTTTCACTGCCGGCTCCTTTGTTTTGTGCGGGCGAGGGCGTTCCATGAATGGGCGAATCTGTTGACATGCTGGAACAGAAAAGTAGTTTTCTTGCCAGCCTGCCAACTGTGTCACACTTCATGTCCCGAGGTATCCATGCTAATCATTCCACCCAGGATATTACTTAAAAAAATAAAATAAAAACGGAAAGACCATGAAAGCCAATGCTATGTTTACATTTTTTAGAAAGACTTTTAATTTCCTAAATTTACTATTTGTAAATATTTAATGTAGGAAAATGCCAGTGTATGGCCTGCTGCTGCTGGGGCCTGAGTGCTCCCTGCAAATTTCTCAGCAACCCCTTTTTGGCTGGGATGAAATTACAACCTGTATAGGTTAGCATGAGGGGTAATCACCACTTAAAACCGTAATATAGATTTTAAGTGGGACTTTGGCTGTACATAGGAAAACAAATCTAGTAGCATCTTGCCATGTATTGCTAAGAAACAGAAAGGATATGCTCCCAGCCATTGGAGGGGTGAGCTCTGAAAGGTCCGGAGAGCTTGTTTCTCTAAGAAGCCGTAGTACAAAAGTCAGTGTTAAGACCTGGGTTTGTCTTTCCATACCCTTCCTCCCCCAGCGAATACAATGGTAATAAATGATCAACTAAGTCACGGCTACCTGGTCCCAATGTTGAATGTGTATTCTCCGAAAATCCTTCTGACTATCCTGCAAGAGGCACAATTTTTCTTTTAATAATAACCATAGAGCAAGTCTAGCGTAGACTGCTGCTTCAATAACCCGCACCGCATGTTGTTTCAGAGTCCTTCAAATGTTTTGTAATTTTTTAACCCATTTTAACAGCTCCTTGCCAGAAATGCTTGTTGGTTCTGTAAACTGACATGAAGTTTTTATGTTCTGTTCACAGCTGAGGGTCTTCAAATTGGCAAAGTCCTGGCCAACCTTAAATACGCTCATTAAAATCATTGGTAACTCAGTGGGTGCCCTGGGGAACCTGACCCTGGTTCTGGCCATCATAGTCTTTATTTTTGCGGTGGTAGGAATGCAGCTTTTTGGGAAAAACTACTTGGATCACGTCAGCAAGATAAGCTCCAATGGCCGTTTGCCACGTTGGCACATGAACGATTTCTTCCATTCTTTCCTCATTATATTCCGAATTCTCTGTGGAGAATGGATTGAGACCATGTGGGACTGTATGGAAGTAGCTGGACAACCATTGTGCCTTCTCGTCTTCTTGCTGGTCATGGTGATAGGAAACCTAGTGGTAAGTCTTAAAGATCTTCTTTTGCCCTTTTTCTGTTGTGTGTATGCAGATGTTCTCCTTCTCCTGCCTAATAGGAAACTGCTGTCCCCTATAGTCCAAAGTGTAATCCCGAATATGTTTGTATTTCCTGGAAAATCCCCTTTGGCTTTACACCCCCACCATTCTTCTTTATATCCCAAATACAAAGCTGTGCATGTAACTGGTTTTATAAATATTAAGCAGTCATTCCTAGAGGAGCATCAGCTTTTACAGTAGAGAAAACGGAATTGATAATAATGATTTAGTGTTCTGAAGTCCCACAAAAGCCATTTAAGTGGAACTTAAGTGATTCGTGGGTCTTACTCTATACAGGAGTGATTTTCACCTTATCTGTCTCCCTCTCAAAAGCAGAACATAGGAACGTGACAGCTAACACCGTCTTTGCATGGGATGCTGAACGTGTGTAGCCTGCTTGCTTGAGGAAGCCATGGGTTATGTTAACAGTGAAGTCACTTGTTCGCTTGGTTTTTGGGTTTTTTTCTACTAGACTATCCCAAAAGCATGGGTTACATAAGCTCTGAACTTATTACAGTTGCCTCTTATTTCCCTGTTGATATCTTATGGAGCACTGTGCTAGCTTGCAGTCATGGTGGAAATATTTTGCGTGTTTAGCTTACAGAGCCTCTGACATTGTGCCTCCGATGTGTTTATTATCTATATCAGTGGTTTTCACCATTTCTAGACTCAAGGCACCCCTCATTAGACTCAAGGCACCCCTCAGAAAATGTTACTTTCGTGTATAGTTTGACTTTGGACAAATAACTTTCACTGCTTGTTTGACTATGGAGAAATCACAGAGCAATTCTTCTGTTGCAAAGAACATAGAAAGCCTACCGCGGGTCTGAATGTTTTTGATGCTCTGGGTTCCTGTTGGAAATCTCTGGTTTGATCTTGTGAATCGTGCTTGCACATCTAACAGTGCCAGTATTGTGCAGCATCTTTAAAAGGATCTCGAAGCACCCCTGGCACCCTGGGTGAAAATCCCTGGTTTATACAGTGAGCTGTTGAACACTGCTGTAAAAAATAGTGGATTTTGCTCCTGTTTGCTTTAAATTAATAATTCCAGAACTTGGTGTTTTGGTTTTAAAGCTCCTAGTACAAGATACCCTGAATGTGGGGAATGGATTTGATATAAATGCTTTCCTCTGCTTCTGTCTGAAAGCTGAATTAAAATATAGAAATCAGATTTATATTGGGGGAAAAAACCTGACAGGAAATACAGGTGTTGTTTTATGATTGTAGACTGCAAAGCGATGTCAAGATTAAAAACAGGGTTTGTAAAAGTAACAGAATAGTTAAAAACCTCCCATTTTTTACCGGTTTTCCTTTGGAACTATCTACGGCCAGAATTGGGGCACAATTCTGTTTTTTTTTTTCCTACAAATCAAATATACTTCTCTCTTAGTTATTCCAGCAGCAGCTGGAAAATTATTCTCTCCCTCCAGCTCCCCATCTCTTTCACCCAAACAATTGTTTTGTTTAAACAATGAGCTCAACTGAAAATCATACCCGGGAAATACTGGGGAGAACGTTAACCTTTAACGCATTAACAGTTTCAATATACGTGCAGTTTGTTTAGGAAGGGAGTTACCATTTTCTGTTGATATTACCACGCATTGTGCATCTACCAACAGTGCACGTGAAGATCAGAAAACAGAAATCTGCAGACAAGATTACACTAACACTATATTTAAGGCTGAAGTGATTAACAATAACCCTTTCAAACACAAAATCAAATGCTGAAAAACTCTGTCAGAGTGAATAAGCCCAAGGTCGCCAGTCTACAGAAGGGAGAAATATGAACTTTCTCATTTTCATTTAACAATTTAGTAGGCATGTGGTAGCTGCTAAATAAATTGGAAGCAATTATTGTAGGTTAATTAGTTCAGAAGAGACAGAAAGTGTTTTGTCAACATAACAGGACAAGGCAAAATTAAATAGACCGTCAGATTCTGAATCATGACATTCATCAAAGTTAACTGCATTATACACAGATCTCGCAATTCGGGGCTTAGCTGCCAAGTGAATGGAGGATTATGGGTCCTATTCTTCTGCTGAAATAAATAGCAAAATTCTGGCTGACTGAAGTGAGAGCTGGATAGGACCCTATCGGTTTTTATTCTCCTGCTAAATAGGATCAAAGTTGTAAAGAGTGTTTGTAATGTGGTTAGCTTAAATGAATGATTTATCCTTCGGTGAGAGAGGGCTTAGGTTGGGTTTGGATCCTAATATGTGAGATCTATTTTATAAGGGATGCTAAAACACTGCTCCTCAACAGTTTCTCCTTACCTCATTGAGATGTATGTTTCTTATCTGGGTTTCAGGACTCTGTTCTGGAAAAAATATGTTTATTCAATTATATCTAGATTGGCCTTGAAATTCTTCCTTAGTCTGCGAGGGCAGGGAGAGGATCCTACAGCATTTCTCCCTACTTAGTGGATTTGCATGTACTTGAAGATTAATATATTTGAATAAATTGGTGCCTCGACTAAAGATCAGAGCCTCCTTCCCTGTTGCAGTGTTCACAGATTTCCTTTATTACTGATTCTGATATTTCCAACTCAAATCAGAGGTGTATGAAAAACTGTAGGTAAGGTGATTCCAGTATAATTACACAATGTGTTAATCACCCTGAATCTGGTATATTGTAGAGCCTTGTATTTGTAAGCCAAGTACACCCTAAAGGCAAGTGAAACCTAGTCCTGTTCAAGTTTATTTGGCCAATGCCCTGTGTAGCTTCATGCTGCAGTTTAGCTGTTTTTGGAAGGGACTCTGAACTGTGCAATTTGTTAGGAATTCCTGACAAATAAAAGTAAAATGAGTAACTCCTAATTCTTCGGGGTACGGGGTACAGTCGTGCTTCCTGAAAAGTGTATTGGCACATTAGTCTAAAGAGAGCAGTGTGTAAAAACTGCATTAACCCATTGTGTCTTTTGATACATGTGTGTAAAAACTGTGGGTACATTAGAACTACAGACCAGTCAGCCTCACCTCAGTCCATAGAAAACTCATGGGGCAGGTCCTGAAAGAATACATTTCTAAGCACTTGGAGGAGAAGAAAGTGATCAGGAACAGTCAGCATGGATTCACCAAGGGCAAGTCATGCCTGACCAACCCAATTGCCTTCTATGGTGACATGACTGGCTCTGTGGAGGTGAAGAAAGCAGTAGATGTGATATACCTTGATATACCTTGACTTTAGCAAGTCTTTTGATACGGCCTCTCACAGTATTCTTACAAGCAAGCTGAGGAAGTATGGGTTGCATGAACAGACTGTATGGTTGATAGAAAGATGGCTGGATCGTTGTGGTCAGTGGGTAGTGATCAATGGCTCGAGGTCTAGTTGGCAGCCGGTATCAAGTGGAGTGCCCCAGGGGTTGGTCCTGGGACTGGTTTTGTGCAATATCATCATTAACAACTTGCAAGATGGCACTGAGTGCACCGTCAGCAAGTTTGCAGATGACACTAAGCTGGGGGAGGGGGTTAGTAGATACACTGGAGGGTAGGGCTAGGATTCAAAGTGACTTAGACAAAGTGGAGGATTGGGCCAAAAGAAATCTCATGAGGTTCAACAAAAACAAGTGCAGCAAAGTCCTGCACTTAGGACAGAACAATCCCATACACCAGTACAGGCTTGGGGCCACCTGGCTAAGAAGCAGCTCTGCAGACAAGGACCTGGGGGTTACATTACAGTGAACAATAAGCTGAATATGAGCCAACAGAGTGCCCTTGTTGCTGAGAAGGATAACAGGATACTGGGCTACATTAGTAGGAGCATTGCCAGCAGATCAAGGGAAGTAATTATTCCCCTCTACTCTGCGCTGGTGAGGCCACATCTGTAGTTCTGTGACCTGTTTTGGGCCTCCCACCATAGGAAGGATGTGAACAAGTTGGAGACAGTCCAGCAGAGGCCAACAAAAATGGTTATGTGGCTGGGACACATGACTTCTGAGGAGAGGCTGAGGGAGCTGGGTTTATTTAATCTGCAGGAGGGAAGACTTCAGGGGTATTTGAAAGCAACCTTTAACCTGAGCTAGACTGTTCTCAGTGGTGACAGATAACAGAACAAGGAGTAATGGGCTCAAATTGCAGCAAGGGAGGTTTAGGTTGGATATTAGGAAAATCCTTCTCACTAGGAGGGTGGTGAAGCACTGGAACAGGTTACCGAGAGAGGTGGTGGGATCTCCATCGTCGGAGGTTTTTAAGACCCAGCTAGACAAAGCCTTGGCTAAGATGATCTAGTTGGGGATGGTTTTACTTTGAGCAGGGGGTTGGACCAGATGACTTCCTGAGGTCCCTCCCAACCCTAATTTTTCTATGATTCTATACCTAGAGTGGGGTTAGCAGGGTACCAGCCCTGGGTGCCAACTAGAAAGGGGTATGTAGATTATGTCCCAGGTGTCTTTGTCCAGCCATAGGAGCCAGCCAACACAGCCTGCAATAAGCCGTGTATCTGGAAGGCAGGGGGCAAGTGAAGCAGATAAAGGTGCTCCCCTCCTCCCCATCCTGGGAGTTGGCACAGCCCTACACCCAATGGGTGCATCCACATGTGCACTTTACTGTGGAGCTGACTAATTAGCTCTGCAGTAAAGTGTCACCGTCTACACATGCACCACTATTAGGACACAATAAATTAATTAACTCCGCCGTAAGATAGTGTAGTTGGGGACAGTAATATTCACTGTGCTGCAACGCATGTGTAAACAGTGATGAGGAGGGGGCTAGACTCCTGTCAGCTGACTAGCCACACGGCTCCTCAGGGTCAGCAGCCTCATACTCCAGCCGGGCCTCATACTCCAGCCAGCCCCTCTGCCACCCTATGCCATCACCTGAGTTGGCCCCCTGCAGGCCAGGCCTGCTCCACCCAGCTCAAATCACTGCTGTCCCGGGCACACATGTAGACACTGTGGGTGGGAGTAGTTTACTCTGGTGCAAACTGCACTGGAGTTTGTTGCAACACC